TGTCAGCCTAGCTCCACTGACTTCAATAAAGTAACACCGATTTACACCCAGCTGAGGATCTGTCCCCAAATGCACAGAACTCCCTCTGTTACACAAACAGATGAGCCATGAAAAGAGTTCAGCTTGTAGAAGAGGTGCAAAAAGTAGAGCTACACAGAGTTAAAGTCTACTCTCTGTTACACCAGCTTAACTCAGGAGTAAATTCCATTCACTTCAGTGCAGTTACTCTTGATATGAACAGGTGTAAGATCCAAGCTTGGTCCTTAGAGACACTTAAAGCCTTCTGTGTTTCTCTTTAAAATGTTGCACTGCACCGATACATCCCAGTGGTAAAAAAAAAAAAGGTTATTTAAAATATTTTCATTGCGATCTGTTATCCAAAATGGCTTTTAACTGTTGAAAGGACATCAAACATTTTAAAATGCATAAACTGGTCTCAGCACTGGGACACACTGCCAGGAATATGCGTCAATCGTATGTTTTTGGATCATATGTCACAGTGGATTATCTGACACTCCATGAACATTGACTGCTTCCTCCAGTTGCGGCTACAAAACTTGTTCTCAGGCACGCCACCGGACGCTGCAACCACCCTGAAGTGGGTTCTGTGTTCACAGTGGTTGTATTGTGTTGTGTTTTTTTTTTTTTTTTTGCAGCATGTAAGCAAAACTATGCTCTGCATCTCAATGTATAACCCTTTATCAGACACGTGTGCTCAAAAGCAGCTGCAATGACAAGTTTCCTTCAGGGACATACATTCAATGTACATCTCTTAAAAATGCGGGTAGATCCCTGAAATCAGTTATCCAGTAGTGCAGTATGGAGTCCTCAGCCTCACTTAGAGAACAGCTTTAAGTAGGAGCGTGGGCGTGAGTGTGTGGGAAAGCATTCCTACTCAAATAGGATCGGTGAAGCATGGCAGCTGATTCAGAATAAAACAGGGGAGGTGGACAAGAAAGGATGAAGAGATGCCAGTGGAAGAATTGAATTCACTGGATGATTTGAATCCCAGATCTAGGTGGGGATAGGGAAAGGGAGCTAGGAGTTCTTTCTGCAGAATACTTGAACACCTGACTATCCAGCAATATTTTAGCTCCGATAGAAATATGAAACCCTTTCCTGTACTGTTTGCTTTAATTTTATCCTTCTCTCTTTTTTCCCCACCTCTTCAGTTTCCCTACCTTACACAGGGCCCTTCCCTACTACTCCTGTCATTTCCTGATGCCTAAATCAGTCCTTCTGAAGAAACAACTGCTGTCAGTAAGTGACAAGGGCTGCTGTTTCTGGCAGGATAGATTATCTTGTTGTCTTTATTCTGTCTGCACGTCACAAGTTTGGAGAAAACACTTCTGGGACAAATGGCAAGCTCGGGAAATTAGGGGGTAAGGACTCAGGAGAACGCCTTCCACCACAAAGCCTCTTGCCTGTCACAGGAATTCCCTCCCATCTGCATTCCTTTCTGACCCCCTGATCCCTTCCCACTCATCTGAGGAGCTAGGACTCAAATTTCCCTCCTCTCTCCTGGAGGCAGAAACCCCACTCATTTTTCTCTCTTAGCAAATGCTCTTCTCACCTCTCTGAATCCTAGCTGCTTCTTCCACATTGGTGTTACACTCCCTGTCACTGGCATAATGCAGCAAGCTCTGCATGGCCCCTTACGATGGTTCAGCTAGACAGTGCCACCCACAACAAGGACAAATGCTGTGTCTGGACAAAATGATACCTCTCTCCTCCTCTCTGCCCAGGGGGGGAGGAAATCATGGAGTGCAAGACTATGGGGGCAATTTTCACAGCTAGGCAGGGCTTTCTAGGCCCCCACATCTTCTCAGCCATGCAGGTGCAAAAGGCCCAGCAGGCTCAAAGATGCCTTTTCTGAATAATGCAAAAAAGGAACAACAGGCCCATTCTAACGTCTGCTGCATGCCACGCTCAAACAGCACAACAGGCGGCAGAATGGCCAAGTGTGATCCCAATCAGATTCACCCTGAGCAACACCCAGGAGCACAGCTGTTTAAGAAGAGCAAGAGGAACAGTCAAGCATAGTGGGAAGGAAGGGGGGGATACTCTGACCTTTTGTTCCTTTATTGCATTAGGGAGGAGGAGAATCTCTAGGTTGATGTGTTTTTGACACCATCTGGGAAATGCTGAGGAAGGTGCTATATGGGTAAGGATATTTTTGAGTGGTTGGGTGCTATGGGCCTGATTTTGCAGAGATGCTGAGAATTTGCAGTCCCCAGTAATTACAATGAGCTCCAGAGGTTCAGTATCTCTCAAAATCAGGCCCAATGTGTAGAGCTGGTTGACATTTTTCCATCAAAAAATTTCCCCCCTTTTTTCTTATTTTTTTTTAAAAGCTTTGTGACCAAAACCATTTTTGTGGTCCAACATTTTCCATTTCCTTTTACAAAAACAAACAAAACCCTCACTGCTCAACTCTGAAACCCAAAAAATGTTCAGTAATTTTTTTTTGGTTTTCAGTAAACCTGTTTGGTTTGCAGCTCACATTTCAGTTAAAAATCAGTTTTTGTTTTAGAAAATCTAAACATTTTACAAAAACTCAAACGTTTTCCATGGGGAAAACTTTTTTTTTTTTTTAAATTCCAACAAACTACCAGCTCTGTCTCTTGCCATGCTATTTTCTTATGCCTGGAAAAAAACAAAGATTTCTGCAATAGCTTTTGACTATCCGGAAATTCCCTTTGTGTGCAGGTAATTCTCAGGTTTTGTTCTGCAGCAATTCCTGTGCTAACCTTCTGTCCAGCCTCCATTGCAGGAGGAATTCCTCAGAGAATGGTTAAGGTGCCTCCAGTAATAGTCAGTGGCTGACAGAATGAGCCCTTGGTCTTCTCTAATTTTCCCACCATTGCCTTCCCTTTGTTACCCATAGTATCTTCTGCGTGGGGCTTCAGAAACTTTTGTTTGCTTGTTTTGCCCCATACCATTTCCTGTGCGCTGTTATCATGCAGCCTTGTGCATGGTCAAACTGAAGGTTCCTTGGGAAACTGCACATAATGGACGCATTTCAAAAGGGGAGAGAAGAGAGACAGAGAGAGTGAGGGCATGTGTCTGTCTGTCTCTTCCTTTCTGCAGATGTGGAGCTCACCTGCAAGATTTGCTTTGAGTCCTAGAGCTCACTTTTGGTCTTGTTATTTTCAAGTCTTCCCTTGCTACCAAAATTGCTTTTTAGAACAATAAAACCTGCCCTTCTGCTTCAGGCGGCCTAGTGAAGGGCTGGTATTAAGGAGCTGGTGTGGACCTCTTCTCATTCATCATTGCTTAAACTGAACTCCATGGCCTGCGTTCTGCTCTGTTATACACTGAAGTCAATGGGCGTGATCCAGCTTTGCCTTACACGGGTGCAAAACTGGTGGGAGATCAGACTCAAGTGCAGAGGGTCTCCTATTTACTCAGCATTGCCAACTCTTGTGATTTTTATCATAAGTCTTTCAATGTTTTATATTGTTATTAAATCCCCATCTCCTGGAGTCATGTCATATGCTGATCACCTCAGTTTCATTTTTTAAACTAAGTTTCTAGCTCTTATGGAGGTGCACAAAAACCTGAAAATGGGATCCAGTGGAGCTTACAGGCTCAAAACCCAGAAAGCAATTTAAATAAATACACATTTGGATTTTTTATTTTTAAAAATCATATGACTTTAAAGCCAAACTCTCGATTTTTGAGGGCCCAACTTTTTTATACTGGTGTATAAATTACATCAGTGGGATT